GGTGCAATCCAAGGAAATACGTGCACTCATTTGACTTTCCCATGTATATTTGAGAGTTGATAACTTTATCATATTATTAACTTTTGTTAGGATCGTGAGACAATCCGACACCATCAAATTATTAAGATATCGTCGATGATCATCGAAATCTTTCACTCGCCCACAGTACTCACAGTTCATATTGATACTCATTAACGCTGTACATGGAAGCTCAGTAATTAATGATAAACAATACATTATAATAATGATGTTTACCAAACAACTCACGTAAAATTATTGTTAGAAGCTAAAGGCCAATTTAGTGTTTACACCAAAGTTACTTTATTATCTCTTGTTAATGTTCGGTCCATTTTAATGAAGTCAGTGTATTAATATGCATGAAATAATATGTTTCCCTCTATATTGTTATAACTAATATCCATAATATATTTTACAAAAAAATCTAAATTCAGCACAACAAATCAAAGAAAAACATCTAAGCGGAACGATATCAGTATTTTTTGGCTCATAACAGAAAAAAAACTTTATTCACGTAGTCGAATACGGCGTCAATAAAAATTATGCTGAACGACATTATAATTCTTATTACGTCCACTACAATTGTAAAGAATTATAACGACTCCAAATTGTAGATTCGTTTAATGTAAAAAATGGAATATAATTTTGCAACAGTTGGCCAGTCTGACGTTTTGTATCGATATCCGATACACCCTTGCCAATGTCACCTCGGACCTCTCCTACTGTGCTACTTGACTTTTCTTATGAAATGTTTGTAATTTATTAGTAGGAGTAAGATGCAGGAGTCGTAAACACGGGGCTGCGCTTTTATTGAGAGCGAACTCCGTCCGCGGCGGTACCGGCACGTACAAAAGCTTTTATCCTAAACCAACCGCATTTCTTTGACCTCACTCCAGCTAGAGTGACGACGCCAGCGAAAATAGACGACTGACGTGTACATGGCAATGAGGTAGCCAAAAATTATGATCGGCATAAAGGTCATTGTCTCGGCCTCACCAATTTTTGTCCCAATTTCCCTAAAAATAGTTGTGATACCACACAGCTGTGTATATAGAGTCGTTGCCGTTACCATTCTCTGTAATATTTTACGAAATCGATTGTTCCATAATGAGTGATTTATTTTTTAATTAGAACTACCAATAGGCCCATTTAATGAAACAGGTGTGAATTTCATTCGCCTTTAGTTTTTTTTTTTTTTATTTTTGTCCCTCGTTCTTAGCTTTTTTTACGGTCTACCTGCTTGCTTGTAACTCGGTGACGCCTTATTGATATTCCAGACACAAAAGACATAAATAATTTCGAAGGATCAGTTGCGGAAAACTTTATAGACAAAATCGATGTTGTAAACCCCATAAATATTTGATAAATGTGTTAAATCTCACAGGAGTTCATAAAAAACTAAACATGAAAGTCGTAAAAAGATTATGTGATAAATATTAAATATACTTGATACAGTGACTCAGAATGCTACTACTGAGGACGTTCAAAATGTTTCCCGGATTTTATGATATTGGAGTAATTGATTTGATTACAATTGACTATATGGGAAACGCCAATGGAATGTTTTTGACAGTATACCACAACTTGACTTTAACAATAGAGATGTTTACAATTGTGTGCAATTCAGGTTGCTTTTGTTTTCGGGTCTTAATGATCATTTGTCAATCAGGTTTTCTGTCTTAACAGGAGCGAATAGCTTAATGTTCCAAAGCAGGTAGCTAATACCCGTTTTAGTGATCCATCAGTAATCCGCGTACAAATATTGGGCGTTTCAATCATCGATCAGTGTCAAACTTTGCCATTATTCACACAAACGGGCCTTGAACGGCTATTTATTTTATTATGGATATTAAGGAACTTGAATTATTAGTTTCTATCGGCCCGACAGGCCCGTTGGAGTTTTCAGAGCGAGTCCGTGCGTGCGTATTCGAGGTATCATGAAAAACTTTTCGCGAAACACATTTATTTCTCTGTAAAGGTTTTTTTATTATTATTTTTCTCACAAAGGTGTAATGTATTTACGAAGTTTTATAATAAAGAGGGACGCGTGTCGAGACTCAACCGCAAATCTTGATCACTTCTAACGTTCAACAAACGAACTTCGTTCAAAGTAAATTAATCGAGTTCTGTGTAAAAACGAGCATGTTTTTTGTTTCCCTGTTCGTACTGTCATATTAGCGTCAATTTATGTAGAATCACGAGGCTTGACAAATAGTGGTATCGTATCTTTTTCTTGAAATGCACGAGCAATGGAATATCTTGTCGATCTCTGGCTGCTCGCCAAGGACTGCCGCTGAACTCTGTCTTGTGTCCACTCCATTACACTTATTATAAAGATTCCACTTCATTAGCGCATCTTGTCCTGAAATTCCAAAATTTCAAGCTCAATTTAATATTATAAACTGGAATTATCCATTTAATATAGTGCATTAGATAGTTATTGCCCGATAAACGTGTCCGAATTATATCTTCATGTTAGCTAGTCACTGGAAAATATTACTGCGACTACACGAAATTATTGTGCGATAATTTGTGATTTGCACTATTATATTTGGATATATTTTATGATATATTTCCACAAATTGTATGGCAAATAAAGTGAAAACGTAATTGATTAATCCAAAATTACTTCTTCTACTTACCACAAACTCCGAAATACCAGAACTTTCAATCCAAAAGTTATCAGTCAATCGAAACCTAACAGTTAAGGTTTTGGTTTAGATATTTACCTAATCCATATATAATATGACTGTGTAAACCCCAACCTATTATTATTTATAAATACGATTGTGTTGGGTAAATATGAATAAAACACTTCATTTATTTTGAAAGTCACAATAAAGTTCTTATATTTTAAATCACGCAACTCTCAAATGATAACCGACGACTATTATAACCCACTCATCATATCTGTTAAATATGTCTCTCTCAATTATTTTCTCCTATGATTTTATGACAGCAGTAAAAATTGTTTACTCATGAATATGAAAATGTAGATAGGTATATAAGCAGGCAGATACATTTATGCCTACCTGTGTTTTCATTTACCGCGGATGATTGGGTTATGAATAATATCTTCGGTCGCACGCAGCTTGGTTCGATACATCGTACTTCGCACCGATATGGTAACGATTTTGTTTCAATTTCACGGCTACTCTTTGGTTTGAAACATAAGCGTTGAACCTGAATAATCTGCTCCATCCGTTACGCGGACTGAATGAGAGGAGCATTAATTAAACACATGTCATCTCCCACGCTTACTCCGCGCCCAGACCTTTTATCTCCCCTTTGTAAAATATCATTCGCAGTTGTACCCTTTTATTCCCATTGTGAGTCGTGGCAACGGGTTCAACGCTCTAAAACGCAGAATAATTTGCACGTCTTTCAAAGTAACTAACAGACAACAGTACTAGCACCTCGGATTAGTGGTCGCCACGTTAGAGTACGAGGTAAGCTCTTTGCGAGATTGATCCTTTGGTTGGCAAAACTTTGAGATTTACTTATACCATTTTGTATACTGTTTGTGTACTGAAAAGAATATAAATAATAAAAATATGTCCTCAATAGCAATAAAGATGTTAATAAAACAATTTCTTAAACTAGGCACACAATTGAGGCAGGTAAGTATTCTGTCTACACTGCGAGAAAAACATGCTGAAAAGTCACTACATTATAGATATTTCGCTACCGAGCACTTAGCTAAGATCCACAAACTCTCGCCGGCAGTTGTGTGCCTTGCTAAACTATTACTTAATAGGTTTAGACACACAACTTGTAATATTCGAGACAAACTTGGACTGAAGCAAACCAGTGGCGGAACTCTCCATTATTAATACCTTGACATTCATTAAATTGTTTGCCGTGGCGACAGATGTAACAACCGACATTGTTGCCTTGTTGCCTCAACTCCTGAATACTGGAACATCACGTTCGCTTCTAACGAGTACATTGCATGAATAACGCTCTGGAAAACACTGAGAGAAAAATTGTACCTCACACAATATGATTTCTTGTGTTTAACTTACCTGTCCAAACCAGGTTGATATTATCTTGTCATTATTTTAACATTCACGAAACTCGGGTCGTATTTACGGTGCCTTTAATATACTAAACTGTTTTTCATATACTATGCAAACATAAAATATTACTTAATATCAATGATTTGCCGACATAACTTCTTACAAATCTTGCAATTTACTTTTACATGAAAAAACTATAAGAAAAATTGTTTGGAACGTAACGTGGCGCGGCCAAGACAAATAAACGAAGCTTTGACTAAGAAGAGTTACCCTTCACAACGAAAAGCAACTGTGCAAACTGCGATAGGGTTGGAAGCCAAACCTTACACACAATAAAAACAAGAAATAAATTACATGGACTGGTTCGTGTATTAATAAAATATCGTCTAGTGTTCTCTTATTCAAACATATCTTATGAACACTATGTCTTCCTTGTATTGTTTACTTTCCTCTCATAACAGCGACATTTTTCCTATTCTTCATTACGTTGAGCCATCTGTTCATTCTTTGATACAATCTAATTATGAGTTGAGACAATATGTATTGTGTTCATAACGAAAATACACAATATCAATCTCGAGATCTCAGCCACATCATGCCCTTAATGTGTACGTGTAGCTAACAGAACACTTATTCAATAAACACGCACATTCTGTACATGATTCGCATTCAACTGGAAACCATCCACGCTCCTAACAGTACTTAAACAATTCGATAGCATTAGCACTTGATGTTCATAATTAGGCAGGTGGATAGCACATTTTGAGAAACAGATCATAAAATTATAAATTACATCTTTCGAATATAGACTATGCCATTTCTCTTTGACTGAACCAAAGAAAGAATTCGAAGCGAAACTACTTAAACTTTTGTACAAAAATGTAGTTTTACTCCTATACCTAGTATTTGTATTCTGTTAGGCCTGTGTGAATACTTTGGGTTAAAATTAATATCTTGTTACAGAGTCAAGCAATGAGGATTGTTCGCACCGTGGGTCAAGCCTTCGAGGTGTGCCATAAGATGCAGATCAACTCTCCGGAACAACCTGCGCCCTCCACCTCGTCCGCCCCGGATGAGCCAGTAGCCAGCGGCAGCGACATGGCTGCTTCCAAAGGTTTGATATCAACAACCACTAAAGGGCTCATCGAACATACCAGAAAGTTCTACCAATACGTATTTGGTTCGGTTACGATCCACAATATACGCAAATGTATGTCACGATGACCCCTTTAAACTGGAGTGCAATTATACATATTATGACTTGACATCACTGTTCGCATGAAATGGAGAATTTAATTATAGAAACCGAGCTCTTACGTCGTCTGGTTGATATACGAATGTTTTTGCCTGTAGCGACAGATTGTCTTGCCATTTATAATATGAATTCTACCTTTGCTTTGCGATTTTTAATCTTGGCGAGTTAATTTTTCTTGGCTAGATCGCGACTTTATCAATGTACACGTATTTTTTTCGCAATGCGAGTAAAATATAGTGTGTCACGTAAATAAATAACTTGGCCAGAATGTTGATGTGGAGGAACATATTTTACAAAAAATTATAAAGACGTCAGCCGGAATGTAATTTCTTCGATCGTTAATTTTAAGAAAAATAACTTAACCAAATTGTAATTTATTTACTTTTACTGGATAGTAAATTATTTCGATTATAGTAGTAGTTATATTAATTTCAGGCACCACTAATCCTAAATTAAATTCAGGCTAAAAGCATACAATGGTAAAAAGTAAAAGATGTATGTATAATTTTTAAAACACGTAACAAAACGTATAGATATAAAATTGATACGTCAACTTCTACAATATCATGTCTTGTATCAGCTTTTATGTTGATTGCATTAGATTGCCTCTGTTTTGGTAGTTGCAGCGTACAAATAACTAATGGCTGGTGGTCGGTGCAATACGGTCAGGTTTAGTTCCCGCGCGCAAACGTTGCTCATAAGCGGGAAGTCATAAAGGCGAGAGGTGCCTTGTGCCAACAAGGCATCAGTCGACATTATTATTTTATTCCTCAGTGGGCGGTCTTAAATATAATATTATTATTTACTAAACTTGTCAACTCATCATTCATTACATGTCAGTATTCATTAATTTATGTCCGGTATAAAAGTTTTACTACAGACGCAGACAGAAAGGGTTTCCGAATAAATAGAAACGAGCATTACTTACGTTTTCTTTTTCATGAATCTTATAGTAGATACACCGATATGTTACTTCTCTCTCCCCGTATTCTTTGACGGCTCTACTTGTATCACAGTACGAAGATGACGTCACATTTTCTTTTTTCGTTGTTACTGCGGGTGGCTTATAATTAGCTTTTATGTATCGTTTTATGACATCCGACGTAACGGGTAGGTAACAGCTGGATTAACGAGCAACGTCATAATTTTATTACCTTTACCTTAATCTACATAGTCATACCTCTACTGGTCTGCCAACTTTTTATAGGCATTGGACATTTTATTCCTTCTTGAATACACTCGTAAATGTCGCCTTTTAAACAATTGAACGTAGTTTAACGCTATTTTTCCTAATAACTTCATCGCGTGAATATACTTTTATGTTTTCCTGACAACCGTGTCGCTTCATTCGCTGCATGTAATTTGTGGCTTCATGCAAATATCGTAAACATTCGTTTCGTATTTTTTCTCACATTGTCACTTTGCGTGCAAACAGGTGGCCTATACATACATACGGCTGTACGTAGCGCAACACACCGCTCTGTTCAAAAACCCAAATTAAGGAGACATAAAACATTCTCGTTTTAATATATAACAGATTTTCTTTAAGATCTGAAGAAAATATTCAGTATAATCCGTCTGTCGTCTTTATAATAAAGAAATGTGTACTGCTAGCCTTAGAAAATGGGTTCCATTTTCAGTAATTGTTAGTAGAAGTAAGTGGTGTTTGATCAACAGAACCGGCTTCCGAGTGTGGTGCCTCTGAGGGGGCTGCTTCTACCACCAAGGTGGTGATCGAGGAGGGAGCTGTAGGAGGCCGTGAGGAGCGACCCAAGACACTGGACCTCCTGCCTCCGCCGCCAAGGAAGGAGGGCAAGCGAACCCAGGTAAAGTATACAAACGCTTTTCTTAAAACTTTATGTGTATAGACTAATATCCATCCAAATAGGAGTAGTTTGCAGGTACCTGTAACATAATTGAACTGAACTAATGATTTAGCCTCTTCAATTCAGTACCTAGTTGTACTTGCAAGGTAACCTGCATCTGTGGGCTAAAACTAAACAGTGCCTAGTAAATGAACCCAACTCGTTCTGCGCAAATTCAACGTCTAGTTCAGATACCAGCTCGTCAAATTATTGCTATTTGTTCACTTTCTTTAAATTGAACTGCAGTTTTGTGTTAGAATCAAATGTTTATGAACGTAATTTGATCATCACCAGTAACACTGTTTCGACTAAAATATAGCTGTTTGTTAAGTCATCAATCAATCATTAAGTAATGGTACTTACCTAAGTATCATATTTTTTTGAGACGTAAATAAATTGTATCTATAAATGGCAACAATTTATTCTTAACTGACGAACCTTCCCTATCGAACTTTATTACGTCCACAAATGGAGTCTTCAAAAGCGAAAAAAGTTGCGAACTTAGCATTCTTCAACATTTTTTATGCATGAGAAAAATTATCATATTCAATGGTTTCGTGCATGTAATGTCTTAATACAGAGATGTATGTATGATAATACTCATACATAATATCTTCGTACGTATTTCCTTCTGAAACCTGCATAATGAAGGTATTTTAAATTCACTTCACTGTAGGACTTCATGATTTTTTCATAACAACCACATTGGGTTTACGATTTTATGGCCACGAGTTTCTGATCAAAATTCGCAGTTTTAAAATGGCGATTGCTTAACGTGTCGCGGCTTCGATTTCCTTATAGAACCACTCTGTGTAATTCGAAAAATACTTTTATTAGTGTTTGCAGCCGTGATGCAAGAGAAAAATATAAAAAGAAACTTAGAGAGAAGTGTAAATCCCCGCAAATGTAATATATGAAGAAATATTGCAAATTGTACACCTCTGTCTACCCCCTTAGGGATTAACTACTACGATGTAATCCAGATACTTGATCCTCTTAAAATAGAACTCAGCTCCCTGAACAGTTAAGTTCTATACTCAAGTACTAAATAATAGTTAACGACACATGAAGTCGTGTCTAATCGCGCATGATCGTAAACACACATGCAAAATGATTCGTGTGCTCATGCGCATATTGTAATGTCACGACTGTTTCTATGTCCATACAAATCAAAGTTTAACAAAGCTAACTAAACTTATACTACTCAAATAGTCAAAATTCTAGGAACCGTTGAAACTCGATTAGGTATAGAAGTTACGATTGCAAACCGCTCGTCTACTGAAGATTGCAATCAATAACGTACGCGCGTAACGCCTACGTATGTATTTGTCATTTATCAGGCACATACCTACCTACTTTTATTTTTCCTGCCAGGCTCGTAAACTTCGAATATCAAATAATCCAATTAATTATTTTACCCAACTTAGAAAATGAATGCAGACTTTATACTCGGTAATCGCGTTCACAAAGAAATCTAGCACTACGGCACTACATGCACAGGAATGTGACTATTAAATAATATGATTCGCTGAGCTAAATAATTAAATTAAACATAGACTTGGTACAAACAGACGAGCATCTAAACAAATTTTCTAGAAAAACAACAAAGGGAAAATCCCAGGATAATAATAGAACCTAAAGTATGAGCTGCATATTTGATAAGCTCTATTATTTATTTAGCCTAGGCAAATAGTTGTATGGTAGAAATTCTCCAGACGACTACTCTGCTAGACTAGTCTGGAGGGCTTCCAAACCGGCATTGTTCCCTAATTAACATTTCCAATGGAACACTAAATTTTCAACGTCACCTGGGACCATTCTTATTCGTAACTCACTTCTCTCACTCGAAATCTAGAATTAAAGTTTCTAGCATTTTCCAAAAGCCTGACTTTGTGGGCTTATCAAATTCTGTAGCTAAGTTTGGTATAAGTTCGTAAAATTGAAGTTCAAATGCTTATCATTACTTACGTAAGTACGTACTGGTTAATTAGCGGTATTATTAATTGATGATGTGTTCTAATTCTCGAAATATATTTCTAGCTTTAATATCTGATCTCAGAAATGTCATTATTTCGCTAATTAGAGATCTTTCTTACAGCGTATTACGTACATAAGTAGGCAGACCTACATGTATTTTTTTCTGTATTTATGGATGACTATCTCCTGCCAGCGGGTTTGCTCGCGTACCCATAGAAAGTAGCATATGTGTTTAACCAGACCAACCTATCGTACCGATTTCTTCAGCCGTTTCGACGTCTTTGAGTCGTTCATAGTCTCTGCCTACCACAGGCGTGAGGTTATATGTTGTATGAGTCGTAATAAATCCTACACACACTCAAACTGTTGTTACTTTCGCATATTTTGTTTGTATTTATTATTTAAAAAGCAATTTTTAGAATGCTGATTGGTTGAGCAAATTCACATTTGTTTAAGTAATAATAGCTCATTATTAAAAGCCGACAACTTAAAAGTCAGAATCGTGACGACACACATCGTCTTTGTTTTTTTAAAATGATCATTATTTCAAAGGAATTATGCGCCATATTTCTTCGAACATAACGTGTATTGTAATCGTTCCTATTTTAATCATATAAAAACATAAGCATGGCGCTTTTGATCTTTTTTTTCTTCCGTTGCTTTATATAATACACAAGTAATTCTTTTAAGACGATTCCCTTGAGGAAATCTTCTAATCTCAGGACTTTACTCTCCTTATTGGAATTAAAAAAACTCCTCCTTTTGTTTTTGTTTTCGTTATCAGACCGACTTCAGAGTGATTGGGATTTTCGTCCCAATTTTGATCAAATTCAAATAATCTTTTAGATTCAGTCTTATTTTTCACTTCTTAAATATTGTATTGTATGAACAGAGCCTATTTTGTTGGATTTAAAGTACAATGGATAATGGACACAATGTCGGCCGTTTAGTTATTCTATTTGTTTTTAAAGCGTTTTTCAACTATTTATTTTTGTTATTTTTTCAAGGACTATACCCGTCGGGGATTACAGACCATTTTGTTTTCAAGCGGTCAGTTAATGAAACAACTAAACTCATAACGTTTTAACCACAAACAAAAAATAAAATGTTGGGTACACTTTTCTTTTGTACCATGATGAGAGTTGGTTTTATGTGCTCGTACTTAGATAAGTGACTTTTGTCCCGTTACAAATCCATTTATCATAACTATATTTTCAAAATTAAATAATTTGCAGAACCATATCTCTCAAAATTTGGTTTTCTTATTCACGGATAATATATCAAATATTACGGTATATTTTATAACTTTTTCATAACGAATTATATAATTAATAAATTATATTATATAATTAATAATTGATAATTATTTTAACACCTATTATGTGTTAATCAGTGAAACACAGCAATCACAATGAACATACATACGTACCTACGTTACATACATACCTACATATATACGTAGAAAACCTTTCCCGCCAAAATATCAAAATAACAATGGTGGCAACAAAAGACGTATTACAATAGAAATATGAGAAATATAATTTCCATCTGAGGATTCCGTATGAGTTTTACATTAACATTTTTGTTTCTAGGCCCTTATTTCACATGTGTACATGACTACACAATATTCGAGTATCCGTATTGTTAATTGAAATCATGAAGCCATTGTTTCAGAAGGTACTATTGTAAGGTGTATTGTGACGTCACATCGCTTTGGTCTCCACTGTTAATTTAAGTATCATTGCCGGTAATTAATCTACTAGGCGTTACGCATGACTGATATTTATAACCCTCTCAATACGCCATTTGTATTCAATAACAGATGTTACAGGTTCCTATAAATTGCTCTATTCTTGTGATTTAGACGTATTCAGAGTTTATATTACCTAGGTTTCTGATACAGAAAGATAATACATTTTCATACATGACATAATGTTTCTTTTGTATCTTGTAACAAGGCTTGAATCTATGTATAAAGTAATTATTTCATGTAGGTATAAATAAAGTGAAGCAAAATATTCCAATATGAAACAATAAGATACTTTGAACAAAGATTTTTAAACTAAAATCAATCATCTAAGTATTTTGTCAAAACTAGCTAATGGCTTGGCTGGTTCTATTGATCGCAGCCGTGATTATTATTAGGTAATGGTCCATATTATACACTCTAGTTTCATTTTTTGGAAAAATCCACTCATAGATTTGGATGGAGCCTGAATGATTGATAGCATTTTTAGAGCAGAATATTTCATAGTCACTACGATTTAGGGAGAGAGGGTTACATACACATTCGAGCTATAAACATGTATATTAGGATCTGTTTGGTTAGGTTTTATGAAGCTAAATATCCTTCAAAAGTACTGTGGACAAGAGATCAAGTTAAACTGGACAGTATTAGTCTTTGTAGTTAAGACACTAAAAAGTTTTCCATCTTGTTCCCTCGAAGTGTAATAAGTTTTTTTTTAGTCAGGTGATGTCTCTCCGTACTAAGATGAGTGCTTGATACCTCAAGTAAGGACCCAAGTTACATAACAGAAATTGTTTTAGTGCACCACTACTTATTTGGGTGATGCCTAAAGACCAAAGTTGTTAACTAGCACATAAAAACTTGGAAAACTTCCTACCCAAAACTTTCGCATATAAAGTAAAAAGTTTTAAAATTATAGGGCCGACTCGAGAACTCGTTGCTCGAATCCACTACCTATACTAAGTACTAGGTATACATAGCACAAAAGAAACAACGGCTCCGGTAAAGTACACATCGATATTTATGACCGCACCGCAGTAATGAATGAAATATTTGACCTTTGTATATGTTGATCAGCATAATTCTAACAAACGTGGTAAAAATAGACACATTATTATCCGTACTGAAAATAGTAGCAACTACTCTCGATAATCGCCCTCCCACATCGAATCCGAGAGCGTTACTTACAATAAATCAAACCTATAATAATATCATCGGAACGCGAATGTCTTCGATCCCACTTCAACTGGTTCGGCTGTCGGCTTTCGGCTTACTCGCGGCACTAGTGACGCGAATAATTCACTAAATTATATTAAAAGCATTCTCGTAATAAATTCTGGAGGTAATTCTCAATAGGTACGTTTGTATAGTTATTATTTTATTTGCGTCGTTAGTATTCATATTCTATGTATTTGTGCCCAATGCGCAAAACATTTATAATTATATTTACTGCATGAATAACATTTTATCATTAGAGTGAATTACATTTTGCATTACAATATGTGAGGTAATCGGCGACATTTGTACGTGTTCAGTAGACAGACATCTACAAATGTACTGGCTTCGTTTGTACTTACTGAGAGAAGTAAATACATACAATCAACTCGTCGCTTAAAGAGCTTCGGTTTCAGGATCTATAAAAACATGCTCCACATTTTCACCAAAAGCCTTGTTTGTAGAGTAACAATGTTCACATGGACAAACATTGGCCACTCAATACGTAATTACAAACCATGCCACGTCTTAAATATACGATATCGTCTACATTACATTACATAGACACTTTACAGAAATGTGTCTTAAGCCCTCCTCGCAGGGCCACGTAAGGTAACCGTGAGTTTACAACAAAACTAACACTACCTTCGGTCTAGGTGCTTTGAATTTTGCAAGAAGTCATTATGCAAAGATCTCGCGTAACGACGGTAAGTTTAAAATCGCGACACATTGCGCCACGCCGCGCCACTGGATACAACAAGGAATTTCAAATGTCTGCAGTAACGCTACTAGACATTTTGGTACATTGGAGCTGACGCTAGTATTATCTACCCTTTGCACCCAAGTCACGCCCCTTGTTTGCAACAGAACGTTTTCTTCGATACAAAACCGCATATCTGCACTGCTGTTGACCTCCTCTGTGCCCGCCGCCGCCGTGACTCTCTTACACTGTGCTCGCCATGTTTATACAGCTTCTCAGTATGAGGTTAGACCAACAGATGCTAGAATTGGAATCGAAATTAATTCATCCATACGTTTATCTTGTTACACACTCGATGACATTACCTACATGTATAGAATTAATTTCATATGTAACTAAGAGAAGTGGTATGAAATTTCAGTGAGTCTCGTGCTAAAAGGTTCGAGCGTAATGTCGTGTCAAGTCACGGATGTTTTTCCTTGAATCGGAAGACAAGTTGATTATACAAAGTGCAGAGTTATGTTATTAGTGTCAGGTATTCAAAATAAAACAATTTATGCATGCTTGAAATTAACACAGAATCTTCTATTCTTTGTTGCGTTTCCGATCATTAGACAAACAAAACAGTAGAAATAATTGAACAATAGTGTATTTGCTACTACATCTATCTTCAAAGAGAAATTATATGCTCTGCATTGTTTCAAATGAAAATAATATGTCAGATCTTCCTCTATATGATGACTTTTTACTGCTATTGTGTAGGTATTGTGATGTTATTCGTGGAATTGGAATTCAGCCAATTAGATATCAACAATAATTCGTATTCATTGGTACAAAAGATTTTATTCACTCATTTCCGCCGCGTCGCGTGCTATGGAAATGTCAGTTTACGGTGCACACGATGGTTTTAGTACATTCAGTGCACGTAATATGACTTCTTGTTGGAATCAAAATTAAATTATTATTTGTATGCTCCCTTGTGTCCAGTGAGCTGTTCGGAGATTCTGAATTTCTAATATCAAAACGTCTGCCGTCTGTTTTCAATGGTTAGCCTGTCCGTCTGTCACTGTCATAGCATTTGAGTTCCAACTAGTGAAAGCCCTCGAGGCTACTGGCCGGCGCAGGCTTCGAGCCGCCTGTCATACTTCAACCACTTCACATGTCTAAAGCATTCGAATACAATTGTAATAAGAGCTCACTGCAGTAATCAGATACCTTAATTAACGATGAAGATTAATTAGTTCTGTTTGCATACATTCTATTTTGATATCTGTATAAAGGTAGAATGGTTCAATCTTGGTCCATCATCAAGGTTTTAATCATAAAATTTCCGTTTGTCTTTAAAATTAAAATGAAACCCTTTTGTGAAAAACTTTTAATTTCGTTCTGTGTTTTCTTTTCATTTTCGTTTTCGTTTGGGGTCAGGGCCTTTGATAATTCGAAATGTCAATTAAAATGCTTTTTATACTTCGTCGATGAAACGGAAAAATCATCTTTGAGTAAATGAGCGCAGTAGGTAACTGAGTTGAAAGGAATGTACCTAAGAAAAAGGTATTCGAAATTTTTGCCTTTATATTACGGTCCGTAACAAAAAAAAAGTCCAAAAATATGAACATGTACTCACCATCATCCCTGACCGTGAGCTACTTTAAGATCGTACAAATATCTACAAATTGTTCTTCACGTAAACAATAGATGCAATTATTTGTGTTACGCGTAACGTAAACCGTGTTGTTGTATTATCGACAGATGTATCCCCGACGTTTGGGTAACATACGTATGTACATTTCTATAAAAACTACGCAAAACATTGTTACGTGGAAGCCACGTAATATAAAGTAGCAAAGTAGTACTTTAGTTTCTTAATCAGGCCCAAAGATTGCTGTAATCAGTTCACAAGACAGACAGATTGATGGCCTAAGAACGATGTTAATAGTACCTTGGTATTGCCCTAATAAGTCACAATCTACCAAGGATACATGAACAGGAGAGACTTTGTGCGATAAAACTCGCCGCGGGGTAAATCCTGAACGAGGACGGTTTGGTGGTTAGCAGAATCTAATAAACACACAAATCAAATGTTATTTATATCGATAATTCGATAATTGTTGACGCCGATGGTATGATACATAATCATTATCTTTGAGCAATGAAGCAATTCAGGATTTGTGTATTATTTTATTAGACATTAAGACTTCGTTAGATATTAGCGATATTACTAAGACGCGCTGTATAAAATAAATGTGTGGTATAACTATGACTTTGTAGACCAAATCAATACATTCCTAATTACCTCGTTAGTCGGCTTCAGCACTTCCAACACCGAAACTTACATGATTACGTTTTATTTCTTTTCTTTAGTTTGCTAATCCTACTAAAGTACGAAGCTAATAATGTATTTATTGTTGCAGCGTACTACTCCGGCGCCGACCATCAACCTGCCGGATCTCCCAGAGTGTGTAACTAAAGTGGAGGTGGCTACTGGAGGTGATGAAGGAGGTGATACTGCTACGCCCTTGAGCGCGCAACACCAACTGCAACTGTTGCGTGAACGCTTGGAGCAGCAAGCTCAGCAGACTCACGCTGCGGTTGCCCAGCTGTTGCTGCTGCGAGACCAACTAGCTGCCGAACAAGCTGCTCGCTGCGAGGCTCAGGTTTGTCACCGTATATAAATCGGCATTTAATAAGAGCTAGTAGACTAAGAATCGGGTATAAGGAAGTGAGCCAAATTAATACAGAGAGTATATTATTGTTGGCTAACAAAAATTCTGGTAGGATAATCTGGTAGAATCAATAATGACATACATTGCCTCTTTATATTTAAAAATGTTGAATAGTTCTGCATCTGTGCCGTTTTCATTCTAAATGTACGTGCTTATATAACAGCCTACATATAAAAAATAGCAAAAAGCGGGTTATCTTTAACCTTTGCTGAATACCTTGGCAAAAACAAGCTTTATCTACTTTATACGAAAAAAATCTTGGGTTCGTTCGTTGAAAACAACGTTCCTATTACTGATACGGACGTGGGACTGACATGTTACAGGAGTAATGTATGTAAACCCGCGAGCCCGCGAGAAACTTCTTCAGATAAACTAAAAAAAGTTATATTTTTCCTCTAACCCCTACTATAGATTTTGAGGTCGACAAGGCGAACAGGAGAATTTTATACATAGGTTCTTCAATAAGATACAGTATAATATAAATCTTCTCTTTAACCTGCCCACAAACATTTATGTGATTGGTCAACTTCTTGCGTAGGGTGGCAATGACAACCAGCATAAACCGAAGCATTATATCTTGTATCGTGTGTATACATATCAATGAGAACGCGTATTGAGATTTTATTAACATGACGATTATTGTCAAGAACGTTTCAACACCGATACAAATGGAACTAGTAAATCTCTACTCTTGAAACATTTTCTACGAACGCTGAGCTTTAGTCGCTTATAAAATTGAAACAACTGCCGTTTGGTCGGTCTGAGAGGCTGGTAAACCGGAACATATCTTCTTTAATGCACTTTCAAGAGGTTTTCATCTTTACTCCCTTGTGATTGTTCACTAATATTTTGGAAATGGAATTAAAATGATGTTAGTGGCATAGCAAAAACACATGATCTGTAACTGAATTCCAATCATACCAGAGAATATAGGTACTTTATACAAAGTAAACAACTGTTTAAAACTTTCCATAACAGGATTACTTTTTTAGAAATTGCCCGGTTCGTACAAAGTTTTGATTGGAAATCGACGTCGAAAAGGATTAAAAATTAATACGCTGCGCTGTTCCGACTTGAAGGGATTTTGTGGAACTCTTGTTTACACGAACAACAAAAAGGACGAGTACGATGACAGTATGGCAATCCGTTGTTTTGACATTTTAATCTCTGATCTACCTTGCTCAGTGGCCTGGTAGGTTCAAAGTGCGACTGTTCAGCTTAGTTCTTCGATTCTATTCTTCGAATTCGATTTTCAGGCGGGTAGTTCTACGTATCGACTCCTATACTCAAGTTCTCTAATAATTAGGAAATTACGCCTCATGAGTTTAAATAAAAATAGTTGTACATACTTTACGCCTCTAAGTATTTCATTTGTTAGAATATCACACCGATGTGGTCTCCATAAGTAATTTTATCATGGTTCATCAAATGTATTTCATTTTCTACGACTTTATATCTTCCAGGCTCGCACCCACCAACTTCTGGTGCATAACAAGGAACTTCTCGAGCACATTGCAGCTCTGGTTGCCCACTTGCAAGATCGGGAGCGCGGCTCCTCTCGACCAATCAGCGCTCAGCAACTGACGCTCTTGCCCCAGGTATGAAAAGTATTGTTTAATAAAATCACAGAAAGATAAAAAACGAATGTTTAATATAACATAACCAGCGAAAAACAAATTGTATGGTACGTCCAGATCTAGTATTTACCAAGTGTGGACGAACCATTACATTTCAAAAAATAATGCATGTCAACAATACGTATGTTATGAGTATTTATTTTTAGTGTATAATTAAATATTTCTCATAATATAGCGTTTATATGTACACGCACATACCTATAAGTTTAGATTTTTTTATTTTATTTCAGAGTAGTCTCTGAAATCTAAATATTTACGGGTCTCCGTCTCTACCAATCACTGTATGATTTCGTAAAATGTAGTATCTTGGTCATTGTTTTGAAGAAAATGTGCGTGTACCTAATCGCTACAGTGAATTTGATCATAGAATAAGACTCCCTGTTATAGTTAGCTATAGCGTTTATTCAATGTATTGATCGTCCCTTAGTGACCTCTGTTTGCTAATGTATTTTTTAATTTGCATACATAAAAAGCATGTGCGTTTCGTATTTATTTTAATCGTTTTGTCTATGTTTTCCTGAAAGCAGGGTTTTTGAAGTGGGGTTTAGAACAATATGTTGTGCATTCTGAAATTATATTTTTCACTTTAAACCCCATTTTATGAAACCAGCTGTTTGATAAGTTTTTTACATAATTAGTTGTGATTGTGACTTTGTTAATGTTTCATTTTCTTCACTCTCATATCGTCCATGTCGGAACCATTTTGTCTAAATTAGAGTCGGATTAAACAAGCACTTTACAAATTACGATACATTGGTTTTTTGCAGTTTTCAATTTTTAGACGTAGATTTGAAAGAAAGAAAGAAAGAAAAATAATTATTTGCCACCAGACATGGACCACCGAATAACACACAAAATAATAACAAAATAACATTAAAAAATAAAATAAAAAAAGCAATAAGAACATAAAAAACAGCCGTACAAAATAAAACAACAAAGAATGCAAAAAAAAAATTACGTGCGTTCCTACATTCCTATTTACGTTACGTTCTTGTACGTAAACAATTAGCAGTATTATTTTGATTTGTAGCTATCGGCGAGGATTCTTAAAGCAAAATTTTGGATTTTTTTTTATTTTTCTCCTATGATTAGTTTCAAAATCGGGCGAGAGAATAATCCGTTTATTTGCACGTTTTCAAGTTAAAAACTGACTCATATATTACAGTAACGTGTTTAGCTAGAGAACTGTAAATACGAGATTGGCGTGTTCGTTACATAGCAAATGTGAACATCCGTTTCTCACCGCTAATCTCCATAGATTGACACGTCATTTGTCACTGTCTATCCTAACCTACGTTACGATTTTATACTGCGCTGTGTAACCGCAGATTTGTAAATTTGTTTTAATTTATTACTACGCGTTTAACCACAATCATTTGGACATTCACACACGATTTGCATATTATTCGTATCGTACATACGCGAAATTTCTTCACTTTTAGCTTTGCTGTTATCATGCCGTACAATAATGTCGCATGTTTGTGGCTTGTTGATGTTACATATTATAATTTTGTGAGTATTTTAGTGATTTTGTTTTTAACTTTTTAACGCTTTTTTATTTACTAAATGGCTATTTAATCCTCATACTCTCTGACCGCAATTATTAACAATTACCTTCTGTTAACTAGATTCCGAAAAACGCTGAGGCATTCAAGCCCGACAACGCAGCGGCGTGCAATGGTAACCGTACTCCGACTAACACCGAAGCTCTTATCAACCTGATTTCACAGAATACCAGAGCTAATCAAAACTTAGAGAATAATAACAACATGAATTTCTCGCCGTTTTGCGCATCCCCAGTCCAAGAGACCGCTAATGGTGCCGGCTCAGCTCCCCCTTGCTTCGGCGGTATGACCAATGAGCAAATTCAAAACTACTTGATATCAAAGTTCCAGAACATGGGGGGCTTCCCAAATGGCGGTGAGGCTGCAAGTAAGCCAGCACCCACAATAAACTACAACCAGCAGTTCTTCCAAAACTGCAACGCTTTCCCGAGCATCCCGCCGCTTGCGAGCCACTACAGTAACACCGATTTGGCAAATCTGCTGAGCCAGCAGGGCTACAAAGACATAGGCGGTTCCAATGAAGAGTTTGGCAACTTGGCACAAGCCATGAGTGTTGCCCAGTCCGAAAACTCGCTGTACAGTAACAGCCAGCAGAGTTCATCAAAAGATTCGAGCCCAGATGGCTCCAGTTCTGAAGATGGAGCTCCATTCATAATGCCACTATCGCACAACTGCACTTTGACGGCTACCGGTGAGGACGGACGCGTTAGGCTCATCGTGCCGGTGAGCCCCTCGGAGAGCACATCGGATGTTGTAGAGACACAGGCTGAGCCTCAGCCGTCAAGTTCATCAGGACATACTTTGCGAGTGCCTGGACAAGAGCGTCCAGGAACATTGCTGGCTCCCGCGGCGCCTATCACCCGCACCACGAGCGAGAAGGTGCCCAACCGAAGCGAGATGATGTCCGCTCTGAGAGCCCAGTGGACCCGCCACACTACGAAGTAAACTCGCACTGATAATACGCAAAACTGAGTCAAGTTACCTAAAATCTTATTTATATTTAGTCTTATCTTCTATAGTATTTACATCTAATTTTGATCATTTTTTGTACAAAGAGTGTAGGTATATTTTATATGTATAGTATTGTTTTGTATTTTTTTAGGGTAGATAGTACTCTTGTTTGAGGATTGAGACTTACGATGGTGCCAAACTTATGCCACATGTACTAATATGTCAATGGCGATAAACGGTCGGGAAACGAAGATATAACATTTATTTACATATCATCTTCTTTGTACATCGCTATTAATTTTATTATGAAACTTGTGAGTAGAACATATCCTTTATCATATCGCCATTAAAGTATAGGTTTTAGTTTTATGATCCATATCGTTACAGTATGAAGTGCAAGTTATACGCCGATATTTATGCTCTTGAAGATCCATAAAAATGTAATAGTCTGTCTACTATGGCAAGGATTTTATGCTTTCGACGATTTATGTAGTCCTTGTGGTAATCGTGTAATAGTTTAGAAGACATATAATTGATGAATAATATTAATTTGATATTGTAACGCTCCGCTTCATAGATATTGAGATTGCAAGCATTCATGTTAGTCGCAGAATAGTTATTAGACCTATACTTTACTAAATGTACTTAGAATTTTCTGATGTTACATTTTACTTACGGTATTGCAATTAATTGATGTCAATAGCGTTATAAATGTTGCGTGATAATAATTGATAGTTTGTCCGTGTTTATGCATGATTAGTTTCGATATATTCAACATATTCAATGTATTCGTGTTTAATGTAAGTTTATAGATATTCAATACAATGTTTATTATAATATGGAATATTAGCCAGTTTTTGTCGTAATATTAACTTTTCAAGCTTGCTCCTAAAAGACAGTCAGATGTTCTTCAAGAAATCACTACTGTATTTAAAGAATCATATATTTCATGGAAAGGTGAGAGTTACATTAAGAATGCAAAGCGTGCGTCAAAGATTCCAAAAGAATGAGAGTAATGATACTTACGAAGTAACTTGTAGAGAATTAAATAAAAATAAAATTAACAATTATAAAAATTTATCAAAAATAAAACTATGGACCAAAATATATTTTGTGTCTGTAATGTTTTGTATAATTTTATTCACAATTTAAATTGTAAAAGACGCCTTGTCGGCTTACTGATGTCAGCTGATTATTATAGTAAAATGAAATGAATTCATGGTGTAAGTGAGATCCACCGTCATTCAGTTGGTGGGTGGAATTCCATGAGGCGTTGGCTGGCCAGCGCCTTCAGTAGAATAAGAATATAATTGTTGAAATATATCTTCTAGTCAATAACCATATTATTTTTAATATTAATTCAACGATCTAGTCAATATACTATTGTTATATTTGGGCATGGTGCGTGTAACTTAAGCGTAACGGTGTGGATTAAGACGAGGGAATGATGTTTCATAGAGTCCACGCCGTATAAAACAATTTTATATAGTAGGTGAGATGACGAAAAAACAGTTTGCTATGTATGTGAATGACAACGCATGAGGAACATTGACATTGGTAAGATTGGTTTATGGTACCAGAGGTAGGGGTGACGCAAGGCACTGAAGAGAAGGGTTGCCAGAATTATTGGTGTGCTGTACCCGTGCGCCAAATTGTCTTGGCAGTGTGCCCTGGTAACAAGACTGTCGTGCTTTTTACCTAATCCTTTCTAATCCCCTGTCTTACAGAACTGCCACCCCTTAGCTTTACACTTTATGAATGTATTGTTGTATCCACGTACACTTTATAATTATGATAATCATTAAAGTAAACTCTGTATGTGAGCTTATTCTGGTATTATTACGAAAGTTAATCAATTTATCCATGTTTCTAGAAATTGTATCCTGTAATCAATAATGTTAAGGAATAAAATAGTCATTTTCTCCGTAAAAAAGATGAAAAATCCAAAAAAATATATGTGTTTATAGGATATACATGATGATTATTAAAATTAATTAGCAGCGATGTCAATGTTTCGATCAGACAATTTAATGTTCAATATAAATGTGTAACCACTGAGTAGAAAATAGCTGAAATGTTTATCCATATTTACTCGTACGATTTTAATGCAGTTTTGAACTTATTGTATCCTTGTCTACACCTGCGATTAGTACCCACGAACCATTCAAAGCGAAAAATAGCAATGTGATCCATATTGTTCTATCATTCCATAATATCATTAAATAGCACCTGCTTAACCCGAAACCTATTGTTGTTTTAATATGCTCCCATTTTGTTTATTTTTACAAACCCAAGACACTATTTTAGTTTTGTCACATTATACACAACTTTACAAAACAGATCCACGAAATGCAGAAAACAATAAATAAAGTTTACCTATATGAAGGTAAAGAAACTCTGAATTCGTCGTAGTTTTATTCATTTGCCGAGGTATAGGAACATCGTCACACACCATTAGAGAATTTTAAAATAACATAATATTATGATCTAAGAAGTGCAATATTCGCTATATCCGCTTGAATGCACTGATATGAGATACAATAGAAAATACATTGGGAATTTACAGAATATACAGTTCACGAAAATGGACTAGTTTAAAATATGTTATTTGCACTTAAGATTTAATAAAAAATATAATAAACCAAGCTATGGAAGTAGTAATAACTACGAAGTTTAGTTTTCCGACCAGCTTTTGAAGTGATTTCCGCGAGCGGTGCAGCAGTATGTTGCTAATTCGCTCTAATTAGTATGTTGAGCTGAAAATCTAACTAGCACTAGCTGGCACCCTGATTTCAATTCAGTATGCAGATATATGTGGCATCAATTGAATTTTTAAAGCAGGCTCAAGAGGAACGTCTCGAAAACACAAAGAAATATGTTCATGATTTGAGGTACTTACTCATTAAATCAAAACTCTTCTATCAAAATATGGTATATTCGCCTAATTATGCACAGAAAGTAATACACGGTAACGCCATTCCAACAGTGACAGTAACAACAAAAGAATTAAACTTCTTCTGCTACACAAACACATAACTGCATTGCTAACACAGAGCGCATAAGGGCCTCATTTCTAGGGACACAAAACTATGAATATAACAATGAAGAATAAAGACTTTCTATGAAAATAAAGTCTACATAATAGTCTGTAATCAAAATGTTAAGAATGTGTTCGAAGTAAAATCATCAAATAGTTCAAAAATCCTTACCATAGCTACTTATATGAATGGTTAAGATTTGCAACTAGGAATAAAATAAGTGGAGCAAGGTATACCTCGAACGTCGTCGAATCAAACCGAGCAAAGGAGATTAACTAAGTAATAATGTGAAAATTACTAAAGCAATTCTTATTTACTACTACTACTAATAGTGAAATTATCACATCAACTCAAAAAAAGAAGTTTTACATTTCGTAAAACTACGTAACGTAACTTACGTTTTTCTTGGCTGCATATTCCATTCCGCACTATTTCCCTTTGTTTATAGACAATGGGATTAATGTGTTTACGATTGGCCACGTCCATCGTACATTGATTGTGTACGCTCAGAAGTCTGTTGAAAACAAATTTCAGAATTAGAAATAGTAGTATTCATCGTAAGACTGGGTTGGATAACTCATGGTCATAACTTTGCCTTGCCGGAGCATAGAGAGTTTATGAACAGAATAATATAAATTATTAATTGAAGTAATTGTAGTCGAATAGCTCAAACACGTAGTTACGGTCAAAGCAGTCACTTTTTTGAATCAAATATCATGAGTTAAATATATGGCCATGGTCCCAAAAACTGAACTAAAAAATAGGGAACTACTTACCTACGTATTTCTTTCTTTCATTTTAAAAAGGCTTCTGAGTTCTATTCGCAACCAGCCCCAATGGACTTAGTTACGCCACTGTGATCAAGGCGATACTTTTGCCTTTTGGGAGAACATCAGTAAATAAATCACGGTACAGTAAAATCGTTTTAATTCTCGTAGCAGCACAGAATCTAATTCTTGTACCCGTTGTAAAATAAATATGACAATTGGCTAAACGGTTAAGATGTGGAGGTTGCGTCCCATCTCCAGATACCTACCATCAAAGAATAAAAACGTTCTATTACGATTTAAAAGAAAAACAAACAAAATCACTTTCATATTATACTTACTACCTATTCTCATCGGTTGCTTGCTAACAGAATTAAATATCAAAAACACGAGGTCAGTACTTTTAATGAAAATACAAAAAAAAAATACATTTTGCGGGCTTAGCGCTTAAGCGATTTGCCAGTTTTTAATAAAATAACATATCTACAGAAGTGCGAAGTCAGAACTCACGCGGGGTAAATGATAACATGTTTTTTTTCTTTTTGATGACTATGGAATCACTCGAACCCAATATATGGACATGTTTGCTTAGCCAACTCAGCTGTAACAAATTTTACACCCTGCTGATAAACAGATGGACGGCAAAGTCGCAATAAGGTTACTTTTATCCATTGTGTGTCAATCGAAACCCTAAAAATCAACATCCTATAAATGTTCCTTATAACGAACTTAACTTCAACGTAACTGTAAACAATTCTGCCTATGCCTTCAGGCTACAACAGGCACAAAAACATCATACATAATCAACTGAAATAATATACACATGATATTCGCAATACCCATACATTGAACACGGTTATTACAACAAAACTAGCTTTAGTAATTATTCTTACATTAATATTGTTTATTCTCTTATGAAATCCATTAGCCTCGAGATGTAATCAAAGCCGTACTACAACATAGCTGTTGATTAAGAAACAGCTGGGACCTACCCACGTGCCAAAGTTACCTCGTGTAAATATTTTCTTAATCTACTCTGAGAAATATGTGTGTCATAGTAACATATTATTACTGGAATATGTCTACCAAAGGTTAGACAAACAGTTTTTATTAACGTACATACCAAAATGTTCTGTGTCTAAAATTAGGACCTAACTTCTATTTTCGTTTGGAGTTCCAAAAATGTTTATGAAACTGTGGGTGTCTGACTTAGAATAAAACATGTAAAACAATGCTACTTCAAAATTGTTACAAAGACCACAAACTTTGGAATTATATTTTCCGTTTAGGCTTGGTTTAGACAACTTAACTGGTACAAGACATACATAATAATATTCACTGCATTAGTTCTGGGATCAAAAGACCGGACCGTACAGTCATTATAGACACAATTATAGAACAATAGGTTGCGGTCACCGGTGACCGCTTGGTGTTTGACAGTTTAAGAGAAAATTTTATGCAGTTCCACAAAACAAATATGTTCAACTTTTCATATTATTCAAAGAGTACTTCACACGCGAGCTTTACTATAGGTGCCAACGAAACTTCGTGCCCGTAAACAAAGTTTTTAAATATTATTCCATCTAAGTTCCAAAGCAGAAAGTATATTATGAACAATAATAACTGGCGATATATTCTGTCAAACATAAGGGAGTCATTCGATTTTCTTAAGAAGTGAAAAGAGCATTATTTGAACTTTTTCGTTCAATATTTAACACTAGCTTTTGCCCGCAGCTTCGCTCGCGTCACAAAAGGATGAAAAGTAGCCTATGTGACACATATAGACCAATACACACAGCGCCATCTATACCAATACTTTTGTTTTCCCTCGGGAATATCAAAATTTTCCGGGATAAAAAGTACCCTATTATTTAATCCGGACTTTTAACTTTACGTCTGCAAAATTTCAAAGCAATCGGTTTAGAAGTTACGGCGTGAAAGCGGGACAAACAAACAAACAAACTCACTTTCCCATTTATAAGAGTCTACAGGATGATACGGATAATTTAATTAATTTTTCTGCTTCATTGGTTATTGGTTGTAAAAGTCTTTCTACGTTGCAAATTTATAATCGATACAGATACAGGTTATTTCTATTGAAATACAGGTGTGCACTCTATTCGCTCGTCATTTGAAGGGACAGCTATTGAATTGCAACCAACGACTCTACGAGCTTACCTACTGGGATTCACGTAGCTTTAACCACATACCTACCTACATGACAACTAAAAACTATTCTTAT